ATTCCTGCTAGCAATGAATGAGAGCTCCTGTTCTTTCACACCCTTGCCAGCAATTGGTGTTGTTAATGTTTTAAATTTTGGCAATTCTAACAGTATAGTAGTATTTTATTGTTTTAATTTGAAATAACCCAATAACATAAAATATTAAGCATCTTTCAGAGGTTTATTTACCATTTGCGTATATTCTTTGATGAGGTGTCGATTCAGTCTTTTGTTTATTTTTTTTATATCAAATTGTTCCTTTATTTTATTGATTTTTTTCAATTTATTTCCTGTTTCTGGTTTTTTGAAATCAGGTCAAATTTTTATTTATTGTCTTCTGCCAGTTTTGAGTTAGGAAAAATGTATGTGTAGCTGTTGCTGGTTGCAGTAGTCAATAGATATCCATTATATTCAGTTGATTGATGGTGCTGAGTTCTATTGTGCTCTTACTGATATTCTGCCTTAGGTCTGTCCATTTTTTAAAGAGGTGCTGAAATCTCCAATTATAATGATGGATTCATCTATTTCTCCATGCAATTCTATCAATTTTTGCCTCAAATATTTTGACACTATTGATAGATGGATACACATCAAAGATTGTCATGTTCTTGGAGTAGTGACTCCTTTATCCTGTTTTATCCCCGATAACATGTTTTTTTTACTCCTGAACTCTACATGTCTGAAGTTATTTTTTGCCCATTATAAAATTTTATTTTATTTTATAGCTACTCCTGTTTTCTTTTGATTGATATTAATATAGTATGCCTTTCTCTATCCATTACTTTTAATGTATGTACCTTTATCATTAAGGTAGCTTTTTTAGAGACAATATATCATTTGGTCTTGTTTTTGGTTCTACTCTGTCATCTTATCTTTTAATTGGTGTATTTAAAAACTTGCAGTTTAAAGTGATAGGTTATATATCTAGATTAATATCTACCATATTTTTATTGTTTTATCATGTTCTTTCTTCTTAGCCTTCAGCTCTTTTTCTGACTTTTAAAAAATTGCCAGAGTATATATACACTTTTTTTTTTTTGAGAGGTTTTTGCTATAGGGCGCGTGCGCTCGCCAGCCAGACAGAGAGAGAGACATAGAGACAGAAAGCAAGAAATCACCCCCCAGAGGGGATGGTCACGCCGCAATCCCGTCTCCTCCATTCTCCTCTTGGGATCTTGGGCACGCACGCACACGTGCCCGGCGTGAGTTTTAAGCCACCGGGTCCGGGATGTGAACCGCGGTCAACTACGTGGGAGTCCAGCGACATAGCTATTACGCTAACTGCTGGTTCCCAGTATATATACACTGTTGAGAGGGAAAG